GTGTAAATCTTCAAAGCAAACATTCAGCCAGAAAAAAATGACTATATTTTAATTAAGTACAATGATGAGACTGTCACTGAAGCATGTTGTCAATGTCCAGTCGGTTCGAGGACCGTCGGAACATGTAGTCATGCCACAAGTGTTATATGGTACCTAGGTATAGCAAGACACGAACCAGAGAAATATCTGACCACCCGATCATCAAAATACTTGGAACTTTTTGAAGACGCGAATCATTATTCATCTGAGTCATCTGACGATGACAATACACTCTATACCCTCGCTGATTAGAATTTTCACTACGTTAGCTTACAAGGCATGGAAGGTTCCAGCCTTGCTTAAGGGCCTCGTCGGGGGAAACTTGAGATCCAAACACTATTTGTGTGCAGAAAAATACATTATGTCTTATCTAATTCCCAATTGTTCAAACTATCGCATGTTAGCCATTTTTTTTATATACGTCTTGGAAAAAACGCAATTTTTAAAAAAAGCGCATCGTTTTTTAGCTTCATTTGGCATAACTAAAAAGAGCATTAAAAACTGAGTATAATAACCTCTGTTTGGTAAATGAAGCAGACAATATTAGAGAGTCCAAACTTTTTGAAGATGCCGGTTTTTTCATGTATTTCACGCTAACTTTAGATTTTTGTTTAATGAAACTGATTTTTCTAAATGTTTTGACCAAATTCTGAAACCAGGCATCAAGACGAGTATAATTGGTCGCTTTTCAGACGAACTCAGCAACTTCTTGCACCTTAAAATGGCTGGAAAAGGAGGTAAGTCATTTTAGGTGTCCTCTAGAAAATTCAATTTTTTTCAGTCAAAATGGTGTTTTTTGACATTTTTGATGTCATATTCGTGATCAACATAAAACCCTTTTGGCTACGATTCTGTCAGATCTCGAACTGGATCAAGTCGAAAAAAAAGAAATTTTCCGTATTACCAAGTAGAATCAAGTTTGAAAATTCTTATCTGTAATGTTTCTACTGGTTGTCTATCACGAACCTATTTGCCTCTAAACAACTTTTATACCGAAGAAAATGTTCTAGAAATCAAAGTTCATTTAGAGAAATTGAATAGAAGAAGAATTGAAATCAGTTGATTAAGTTTCTTTTTGTTTCTTGATTAAAAAAAGAAGCCCCTGGAAGTAAGAAGCACCTGAGTAAATAGGTGTTGTGGTAAATATATATGTATCGATGTTGCGTTTGATTTTTTCCAAATATTTCATGATTTCAAGGCAAATCCAAATAAAAATACAAAAAAAATTAAGTTCCATCTACCAATAGATACCTATCACTAAATTCATATTTGAAAGGTGCATCATTGCACGCTAGCGATAATGTGAATCAGAATGACCATTCTTGTCAAAAGTCACTTGATAGTCGATGATGTCTACTATCAGAATCCATAGTGATTTTTGATCAATCAAAGATTCTTGACTGTTTTCAGAATAGTTTTCTAAAACTTAAAACATCTGACTCTTTCACAAGCTATTGCATATTCATGGTAACTGAAACAAAGAATATTTCCAAAGATGCCAGATTTCTTTTTTTAGGCGCCAGTCAGCTATGACTGATGCTTTAATCAAAAGTTATCGACCCTCTGCTGAATTTTTTTTGAAATATATCTGTTATACGCTGGCGCCACCGTACCGTATAAGAGACGAATAAAGTTTAAGCATTTCGTATTTGCAGGATATCTTGGTGAAATCAATATCGGCAGAAGTGAGACTGGTCTTCAGCTAAAGCTCATACATGTGTCTAGAGGTTAACATCGTCCCAAAAAGCCTTGGATTTTGATCTAACTTTGTATATCAAAGCGTCTTTAAGAAACTCGACTAGGTTCTTGCGAACTTCTGACATTTTCAGTCTCCAAAACTCCTGTATGCTAAAATATGGAAAATTCGGCTTTGTTAGCACCTAGATACATGTATTAGGTGTAGACTTGTGCACCGGTCGGAAAATCGGTGGTGGCGTGTATACAAATTTTCCGATCAGTGGTGGTGACGGAACCAGTACAAAAAACTTTTTAAATTTCAGTTGAATTAAGACTAACTAGAATTCTCATCTTATATTGGTAATGCTTACGTAGATATAGATGACAGAGGCGTATTACACCAGTGATTTTGTTTCATTTAGCAATGAGCCATAGAAGCTGAAGCGAGACTTATCTCTGGTCGTCAAAACGCTTATAAACTGGCCGTATAGAAATAATGTATATGATGGTGCATATGCGCTCGTATATGACGGTTAGACGTAGCTTTCTCTTCATGTTATGAATGTGGTTCTAATTACTATATAACTTCCTGTGTTTCTAATTTCTCATAACTTTTTCATTCCAAAACTTTTTCTATCAGCACAGGATAAAACACCCGGAATTCAAAGATCGAGTACAAATTTTTTCCAGACAAAGCATACACCATTCGACGTAGAATTTCATACTGATTCCGAATATGTCTAATATGTCCAGAAAAGTATGATTAGTTGACTGAGAAATGCTTGTTTCTTGCTTATCCACACTATTTCCACTGGGTAAGTGCTGATCTAGTTGAATTTTAACACTCTCATGTTCGTACCATACTGATTTATGCTGTAGCACCACTGCGATTGCATTAGGATAACAGACGGAATTTGGATAGCATTTCCACTATATTTATTTTCTCAGCGTTTTTCTCTCTCATATTTTCATCATTAAGAAGGCTTTCTGTTACGAAATTCTCTCCCTCTGAAAAACACTGCATCAAGTACTTTAATTGCAGAAAACCACACAAGAAAGCAAAATGAGTTCAGGTCTAAAATTATTAACTACATCGAAATGTTATATATCTTCTTTTTTATGATATTGTTATATATCATTCAGCTTTGTCTCGTGCCAGTTGTTCTAATTCTGGAACAGTTAGTCAGATAGATTCAAGATCTTTTCTCCAAACATCTACTAGTCGTGTTCGAGATTTCCCTTTTCTTCGTGTTTCTCAAAGAAGCATTTCTTTGGCCGGTCTACTGTCTGGCACTCTAAGTAAGTGTCCAATGCACTGGAGACATCGTTTACGGAATGTAATCGCAATAGAAGGTTGCCCAGAAAGGCGTCGAACCTCGTCATTGGTGACATGAGCTGCCCAGTAGATGCCCAAAATATGACGTAAGCATCTGTTCTCGAAGCTAACTAGTTGTTTAGTCAGAGTTGGTGTTGAAGCTCAATATTTAATGCGCAAGCGAACAACTCAATAATCTATCAACGTAATCACATTATGTTCGCAGGGCTCTCCGATGCGAACTTAACTAAAGGAGGTTTCGGATCGCTGGCGACCGCCCGAGTTAAATAGCGCCTGGAGAAGATGCTCTAGTATCGCGTTATTAAGACGATACATCTAATTCTTCTGTATTCTTGGTAAAAGCGATGTTGGACTTATCTGCGCCCGCGGCTTTGGCAGCCCAGAGGAAGATCTGATGATGATTAGTTTTTATATATAACACGTCCAAGGAAACATGGACTGTGCTAATTAATTATAGATGATATGTACATTCTATTTGGCCTTATCATTTGCCAGTATCGTCCCAAACAAACAGCAAGAATAATTTTTTAGGCTATGGATCCCTTCAGGTATTGCATAGAATAATTTTTCTAATATTCACTCATAATGCCGCTGAACTATTGTTGCAATAATTAATCCTTAAAAATTGCGAAACGAAGAAGGAATTTATATCAAAATTTGATGTCTTTTTTCAGTAGTTAGCTTCAATCTGAGACCAATCTCTTCACGGCATTTCGTTACCGAGAAATCCTGCAGCTGGGAAATGCTGTCAAGGTGAAAGTCGCATTCGAGATATGGTGGCACTAGCGCTTGATGCATATTTTAGGACTTCTAGCAAAATTCTTATAACTTTTAATTGAAACATCATCCGGAGCTGGGCAATGTCTCATTTCGATCAAAAATATTTGCTTTAGATAGTAATGCCATTGAAAGTACTTTTATATTTGTTCTTTTTGAAAAAAAAATAAAGGTTTTCGAAAGGTCAGCTTTTCAAGGCTTTTCTTGAAACCTGCATAACCCTTTGATGAAGACAAAATAACTATGAATCCTGATAGTAGACATCGTGGGCTGTATGATGAGGTATTTAGCTCAGTATCGAAGTTTAAGAAAAAGTTTTGTGTTTGTGACGGGAGGGGCACCTTAAAGAAGAGCCCGAGACTAGTGAGGATTTTTATTCTATTAGGACAGCACGGTTATTGAGACGAGAAAAATGAAGATCACATTGAATCTATTTGCCAATAGATTGTGAGAACATCTATGTCATCCTCTAATTGTTTAATATTTTTCTGTAATTCCATAATCTCAACACATTCCCTTGACCATTTCATAGATAGTAGTTCAAATATTATTTTTCATACTATTCAGTTTTTCAAATCTGTCAAAATCTTGGAAGCATCCATAAAATAGCTTTTTTGATATTTCTTGAAGTAATGGATCGTCTGGTTTGAGTAGTTTTAATCTGATTTCAAATGATTTTTTGTAGTGATCAGAGCCATTGTATATTCATTTAAACGTTCATCATAAAGCCTTCCCAGATACACATAAGTCAACGCTATCGATAACTGATTTTCTGGTAATGATTCTAGTTTGAGTTTTAATGATTTTTGATAATGATCTAATGCTTTAATATAATCATTTAGTTTCAAACACAGATTTCCTATATGACCATGACAGCTAGCTAAATACTGTGGATCGTGTTTCATTTTGTTTAATTGTATTTCAAGTGCTGTTTCAAAATTTTCTAATGCATTTGTTAATTAATTTTGTTTAGAATAAATTCGTCCAATTATAGTGTATAGTGACAGAAGTGATGAATAATCTTGTGAAGTACTTTGTAACAAAAGTTCATGAGCTTTTTGACAATGTTCCAAAGCATTATTATACTCACCCATTTCGATGACAATGCTTTCTGTGTAATTTCAAGTCCTATGTGATAATTTGCTATAGCTTCGTTATAGTTTTTCATTCCTAAATAGACAGCGCCAAGATTATTGTACGGTGTAGCAAATGAGATATAATTGGTTCATAAAGATTTCCGACGAATTTCAAGAGTTTTGTTCAATAATTCAATAGCTTTCTCGTATTTATGGTGGTTCATATGTAACACTGCAATATTATTCAGCGTAATAGCGATTGATGGATGATTCGACGGAAATTTGTTGAGTTCAATTTCAAGTGATTTTTCATAGTTATCCAATGCATTAGAATAATCATTCACTTCCGAATAGGAAAGACTTTTCCTATGTTTTCATAGGATGCAAAAAAGCAGAACTGTTTACAGGTATTGGTGATTCTAAATTGAGTTTTAACGAATTTTCAAAATACGTTAATACTTCATTCATTTGTTTATTTTTATGATGCATCCGTCCAGTAATATTATAGATATCTGCCAAACTTGATGTGTAACAAGGATATTGTCTTTGAAATTCGGCTGATTTCGTTAAGTGATATAAAGCTTTTTCACGATACTTTGTTGCACGTACTATGTTACCTTTTTTCTCGTAAACAGAGAACTATTTGAATACATTGTAGCTTGCTTTTTTTTAATCATCCACCCACTCCCTTGTCGTCATACAGAAACTATACTTCCCTCCTTCATGTAGTTAAAAGTCTTTTACTGTGAAAATTAATCAACTTTCTCTCTTCATAGAAAATATCGAAGTAGAAAAAATCTATATAAACTGTTAGATTAACGGGTGTCCCAGGTGAAATTGCACTAAATCTTGGTGCCTTTTTCTCTCACTTCCTATGCGTAAAAAGTTTCCGTTATATGCCAAAAGCTAGAGAATTTGAATTTCTAAAAAACTGTCGACTTTGTTTTTGAAACAAGTTTTCTTAGTCGGCACCAAATTTAAAGGATTCACATCTGCTCAATCATTCAACTGCAATTTCCTGTTTTCTGCTGACATTTATTGATTTATGTAACCTTTTACTCATCGAGGCCCAAGCCAAAAGTAAATTATTTAACATCAACAGATAGAGAATTTTGTGCTTTATGCTTCCACGACCATTTCAAGGTTCCTGGTGCTGTCACTCAGGAGAAAAACACTAGGAACTTCTTTTATTAGTATTTTTCTAAAATACGTGTTAAACACGTATCCACCTTTTTGGTTTGGCTTCAGGTGTTATTTAATTGCTGAACGTTGAAAAAATAGAGTCCTTTCCATTTCGTGAATGGAATCAATCAGCACTCCAGTTTCCTCAGACTGCCCTGTAGCATTTCTGTTTGTAGACATTTCAATGAATGAGAACCATCTAAAAGAATATGAGAATGCCGTCTACATTTACTGTTCGTTTGTCTTTTTAGTCGTCTTTTTTCTCTCATATCACCGGAACAAAAAAAATAAAGTTGGTTTACAGTTGTTGAAAAGTGATTTTTCGTATTCAGCCCACTCGATAACCCAGAAGATTTTCTATTTTTGACTCGGGGTACTTCCGAAAGTTTAAGAAAAATTTTGAAACAAAATGGTGCAAATAGTTTTCCATGGAAAAATAATACTAATTTGAAATTTTTCCTAAACTTTCGGAAGTACCCCGAGCCAAAAATAGAAAATCTTCTGGGTTATCGAGTGTGCTGAATACGAAAAACCACTTTTCAGCAACTCTAAACGAACTTTATTTTTTTTCCGGTGATATGCTTTTTCTCATACTTTTCATAACTCATGCCATAAATCCACGCAGTTTTGTACACAGTTTAATGGAGAATTTATTGGTGAAAACCGTTTGTCAATATCTTTTTTCGTCGTTAAGTTATAACATTTTTAATTGGAATCACTTCATGTCAGAGACCTTGTCGGGAAAAATTGATTTTCTCACCAAAGACAAGCGACTCTTGAGAATCGAGAACAAATTTTGGATGTGTCCAACAATACTCTATCTATCTATGATAAAATAGTTTCATTTTGAAAGGGCCGGATTTTCCATGGAAATCCGGCGGGGTCCCTTCATAAATCGTGTTTAGTTGTCTGAGGCCAATTTGCATTATTATTAAAAAAGATTTCTTTCTATGATCACGTTTCCTCAAAGGTTTTCTACGTGTTCTTATGGAGGAAAAAAAGTGACTTTTCGTTCAAAACAACTGATCGTGGATATTCATATTTTACCGTAACTTCAATAATAAGCCGTCCAAGTTTATCTTGTCTGCCGAATTTACCAAATGTTTGTCTTTTAACACCTAAATTATCTGCAAAAAACTGTCAATATTATATGTCAAAAAGAAGTTGTTGACTGCATAAAACGTGTGTTGCAATTTTTCAAGAGAGAGAAAGCTATGATATTTTAACAGGAAGAGAGAAAAACAAAACGATAAATATTACTAAGGTAATTAAATAACTTGTGTTCACATGTTTTTTCATCCTTTTCTTCTCCATATTATATGTGATTAACAAACTGGTGCAGAGTTACTTTTCACCACTTTTCTGAAGAAATCTGATGTACTTTAGTAGAATACTCTATTTAGTAGATCGTTATTTTAACAGAAAGTTTTGGTCGGTATAATTTAAATGTGCAATCGTTCTAGATTATGTTGAATCCAGTCTTTCGCTCTATCACCGTTTAAAGAGTAGTTGGCTTTTTAACCAGTGACTTCTAAGAACATTTCAATCTACTAATAAACTTTTTGATCATAAAATGGTTCTCAGCAATATTTTGAAATTATTTACCGATATACTCATTAGAGTATATTTCTTTACGTTTCCAAATTACGATAGAAGGACGGTGATCGATCATTTTCTCTTCTCCATAGTTCGATTTTCATACGTTTATTGTCGTCAGTGGTATAACGTTTTATGTCAAAAAAGTATTCTATTAAATAAATATAAACGTTTAGTAAAAAAAATCGATATTGAACAGACAAAGAATATTTTAATGTTGAATAAAGATGACGATATAACAATAATATGGTTTGATGATAAAATTGATCAAGAAATAAATGATACATTAGAACAATTACATGATCACATTATAATTTGTTTTACAATCTCTGAATTAATTAATTTTATAGATAATATTCAAAATGAAAAAATTATTTTAATTATATCGGGTAAATATTCTCGTCAAACATTAACTTTAGTACATAATAATGATAAAATTGATTCAATTTATATATTTTGTTTAAATGATCAATTTTATAAAGATTTAATTGATAATAAACAATATTCAAAATTAATTGGTATTTATACACAATATGATCAATTATTTACTATTTTAGAAAAACAAATCCATTTATTATTAAAACATTTATCAATATTTAATTTATTTGATCAAATTGATAAACCAATACGTGATTTAGAACAAGAATCTATTAATTATTTATGGTATCAATTGCTTCGTGATACATTGATGACAATGGAAACACAAACAGAACAATCCAAACAAGAAATGATTGATTATTGTCGATTATATTTTCATTCAAATTCTACTTATTTAAAACAGATTGATGAATTTCAACAAACATATCGATCATCTGACGCTATACGATGGTATACTAAAGATTGTTTTTTATTTCGATTTGTTAATAAAGCATTAAGAACAGAAAATATTGAATCATTATTTCAATTAAGATATTTTATTAAAGATCTTTGTAAAAATTTAAAATTATTATTTGATGAAAATTTTCAACTTTATCAAGAATCATTGGATACAATTACATTTTATCGTGGTTTAACATTATCAGATAAAGATATTAATCAATTAAAACAATCAATTAAAAAATATATATCAACAAATGGATTTTTATCAACAAGTTTTTATCGTAATATAGCAGAAACATTTAGTAAAAATGTCATATTTGAAATTCAAATTGATACAAAATTAAATAATATTATTTATGCTGATATATCAAAAATGAGTTATAATATAGATGAAGAAGAAGTTTTATTTGATATTGGTGCTATATTTCAAATTATTGATGTAAAAATGAATAATGATAAATGTATTGTATCAATGATTGGTATAAATAATAATATTGAATATTTAAAAAATGATTATTTTCAACTAGAACAAAAATATTTACAAGAAAATATGATAGATAATATTTTGTCGAATATAAATGCAAATTCATTTTTTGGTGAATTTTTATTGACAATGGGTTATACAAATAAAGCAATTGATTATTTTGAAAATTTATTAAAACAACTTTCGAATAGTATATTCAATGAATATGAAATATATATTATTACGGGAAATCTTGCTGATGCTTATATTTCTAATAAACAATATAATTTAGCATTAAAATATGCATTAGATTCATATAATATATGTAAAAATTTTAAATTTAATTATTCAGTGTCAATATCTGCCAGTCTATTAAGACGATTTTATCTTAACATCATCATCATTGCCTATAGTATTTGCATTGTTAATCATTAAAGATTGTGTACCATCTATGTGAGAAGATATCGGTGACAGTTTTAACTATTTTTCTCACAATCGAGGTGATTGACGTGGAACTAAGTGCGGTTTAATAGTTTTTACTTTCTTTTTCTTTCTTAATAGACCTATCGAGTCTGGTGTTTTTACTGTATCATCTATCTCGGCATCAGATCTTTCATCATTCATCCATTGAAGTGCCAGCTCGGCGAACAGTCTTTTGGACACTATGTTCTTGAAGTCTTCTAAGAATTTGTCGTTCAGTTTTTCCGACATAACTATCATTACAATCACCACATTTTGCTTTATAGACAAAGTCTGACTGAAGATGTTTTGGTATTTTGTCTTTCAGTTGAAAGAATGTTTGAGACGACTGCGGTGTTTTCAAATAAAAACATGACTCAGTATCAGTAAAGTAAAAAGGAAAATACTTAAAGAGAGAAAATCATACAGTATATAAATATAAATTATACCGGTCCGTTTAAATGAAAATCTTTTGCTTTCTGTATATGTTCTTGACAGTGATTTTTTACTAAATCGAAACGTTGGAAAGAAAAAATGATTAAAACCGCTGCTTTAGTTAAACTTTTCTTAATGAAAACTCTACCAATTACAAAACAAAAATGTTTACTGCTTATTTGATAATTAACAGCTGATGACTTTTCTGCTCCCTTGAAGCACTCTTTATGTTGTTTCATTCTTGTTATGACCGTCCTTTTTGGTTAACCAATATAGATCTTATTGCTTACATGACAATTGATTTTATAAATGGTTCCTGTGGTTGCATCGTCTACTACCTTTAGTTTTTTACTTCCTTTTCTTTTGTGTTTCATGCATATCACAACTATCATCCTCATTCTCACTTTATAACTAAAATTAGTAATAGGAGTAAAAGTAGTAGAAACCAAAAGGATTAAAAGTAGTGACTAAAAGTAGTAGGAGTAAAAGGAGTCAAAGAGTTAAAGGACTAAAGTGAATAAAAAACTAAAGGACATATTCAGCCATGCACCAATATAACTTTGTCATATCGTCGAACTTCCTACAAAGTAAGCTACGTATGATATCTTGATCAGTAGGTTTAGCCTCTGCAGTTTTAGGCGACGTAGCGGTTTTGCTGAGAGTCACAAGACTAGTGTTAGGTGATATTGATATCGAATTGCCTCTAAAGTAAATGGAAATATAGGTTATCCAACACAATGAACTTCGGGGTAATGTTTTTTTCCAGGATAAGGTGGGAAAACCTAGTGGAACTGAATTTTGAAGAAAATCCACCAATTCGGTTAGAAATATACAAAAGTAAAACACGCCAGTCTCACTCAACCCAAGCAAACCTCTTGGGACTCTCAGGATATGGTCAGAGAAGTAGATGGAACAATTCGAATATCAAAGCAACTTTAAAAAAGGTATTCTCTTACGATGGATTTCTATAAAACCTATGAAAATCCGAATAATAGCAAAATAGATGCTTTTACTATTGTAACTCCGTCGACATGTAAATCAAGAACGAAGTGTCCCAACCGGTTTGCTTGGGTTTTGAACGAGATTGGAGTACTTTACTTTTGTATATTTCTAGCCGAATTGGTGGTGGATTCTCTTCAAAATTCAGCTTTGCTAGGTTTTTCCATCTTTTCCTGAACAAACAGGCCTATAACTCTTTTGCCCATTCTGTCGAAAATATTTGAAAAGTTAATTTATAAGAAGCTAAACAGCTATTTAGTTGGCAATAATCTGTTGAATAAGAATCAGTCTGGTTTCAGATATCGGGACTCATGTGTAAATCAACTTTTATCTATTGTTCATCATATATATAGGGGTTTTGAAACAAAGCAACACACTCTATCTGTTTTTTTAGATTTTTCCAAAGCTTTTGGTTCAGTCTGGCATAAGGGCCTCTTATATAAGTTGGCAGCTAAAGGAATACCTGAGCCCTTAATTAAGTGGTTTGCAAGTTACCTGTATGAAAGAGAAATTGTGACTATGGTAGATGGCCATTATTCATCAGTACGTCGTATTAATAGAAGGATCCCATAAGGATCTGTCTTAGGTCCCTTACTTTTTCTAGTGTACATTGACGACTTATCTGATGGCCTAATAAGTGTCACCAAATTATTTGCTGATGATGCATTACTGCATATGACAGGCAATAATCTGCTGCAAACGGCTAATCAGTTGAATGGTGACCTTGACAAAGTGTATAAATGGTCTATTAACTGGAAACTACCCTTGAATGCAGATAAATGCGTATCAATGTTATTCACATTAATAAAACCTCCGCAAATGCTACCTACACTTCAAATTGGAGCAACAGTGCTCAGTTATGTTCAGTCGCATAAACACCTAGGGTTAATATTAACATCGAAATTGAACTGGACTAAACATGTTGACTATCTGGTGCAAAAAGTGAATAAACTAATTGGGTTATTAAAACTTTACAGTAGAATTCTATGTCGTCAGGCACTTGACGTGGTTTATAAGTCCTTCGTCATGCCCTGTTTTAATTACGGTAGTATCATATATGGCAACACATCTGATTCCAATATTGAGCGTATTCAAAAGCTGCAGTATCATGCGGTGTTAGTAGTAACAGGAGCTATGCAAGGTAGTAGTAATCAGAAGGTCTTGAAGGACATCGGCTGGGAGTCTATAAAGGAGTGCTTTCATCGAAATAGAATTGTTACATATCATGCAATATTAGTGACTAAGTCACCTAATTATTTGTTTGACTTAATATCCTCTGCAACGAATAATTCACTTCCTACTCATAACTATAATACTCGTAGTCAGCAAAATGATCAGCACTGGCAGTCATCTCCCAGAATAAAAATATTTAGAGAATCGTTTTTTTATCAAGCTCGTATTGATTGGCAAGAATTACCGTTTAGTACACGAAGTATAACGAAGTTGAACTCTTTTAAAAAGAAAATTAAAACAACGGTCAAGAAAAGGCTTCCCATTGCAAGTAATCGCTTAGATGAAATTCATTTTTGTCGATGTCGAGTTGATCGAACTCAGCTAAGATATGATCTGTACATTAGTAATCTCACTGCTGACCCGTACTGTGTATGTGGTGCAAATGAGACACTTGAACACTTTTTCCTCCATTGTCCTTTATACAAAAACTAACGAAAACTGCTATTCTCTGAGATTGTTGACATAATGCCTATGGCAACTATAACAATGTCATTACTTATGCTATATGACTCTATGAAATATGAAGATATGATACAGATATATCATTCTGTTTTAAAATTTATATCTATGACTAATCGCTTCAAGCAGCCTGGAGTCCCATCTGTCACGTATCAACAGTAAGTCCGATCAAGTGCTCGTTACATGTGATGAGAGTAAATTGAGTTGCAGCTCTAGTTTGAGCATCATTAGATTCAATAAAACTATTGTAACCAACAGTGCAAGTGTAACATCTCTATAAGGATAAGACGAGGATTTTTTTCCTGATTTTTTTTTTCTTTCTTTTCTTGTTATATTTTAGGTTCTTATGTTTACATGTGTGTGTTTCTGTGTATAGTGCTAAAGTGGGTTTCTTTTAACCCTTTGTGCTTAGGTTTTTCTTTTTAATAAAGGTTTAAATCAAAAAACATTGCCACATGGTTCAGTATGTTGGATAACCTATGTTTCCATTTACTTTAGAAATTATCCGAGGTCAACTAATACCGGTCTTGGAAATCTCAGCAAACCGAAAGGTATATCAATATAATTTGAGCTTAATTGGTGTCTTAGCGTCCTTTCGAACTCCCGACAAAAACAAAATGGGAAACGATCTCTGCAAGAAAGTGCCCTAATATGATTTTGAGCGCAAATCTTCTAATCGTCAAATAGTGTACGAGATATCTCTTAAGATTTTCATTACTTACTCTAAACAGGAGTGGCATATTACTGTAACTAATGTACTACATTACCGAGGAAATAATACTGAAAAGTATTTCTGTTGCCAGCAACAGTAATAGCGAAATACTTTTCAGTATTACTATCACTGATAATAGGAATATATATTATATTTGTATTACAGCTAACAGCAACGGTAATGTGCTACCCCTAGTCCTAAATAAATCATAACGCTGCAATGCATTTGTCAAATGTTAATATATTTTAATAGGATAAAGCGCGTCGAGTCCGACTTTACAGATAAATTTTGAAGATTTGAATTGTTTGATGGAAGTTAGACTCCGGTGAAAAACCAGTTGGAGAAAATTGCGATGCAGGTGAGCATTCCGTTTTTATCAAACCGTCATCGTCAACTATTACAACAGCGAACGTGATAACAGAATAGGTACGTTTATAAATGGCAGATAAGCAACGCAAATGGAATATTGAATTTATATAATTTGTTTGGAATTTCTGCTTTTGTAAATATTCTATTCTGGCATATCAAATTTACAATTATCAATAAATCATAAATAATATATTGACTTTAAATGTTTGATTCATCTCTAGGGTACATCGGTGTTGGCGGCTATCTTTCTACCATGTCCATGAACAATATTGTTCGGGTCCAACAATTACAATTTGTGCAATAACTATTGACCATTTATCGCCGAATAATATTGTTCATGGACACGTAGAAAGATAGCCACCTACACCGATGTACCCTAGAGATCAATCAAACATTTAAAGTCAATATATTGTTTATGATTTATTGATAATTGTAAATTTGATATGAAACAATAGAATATTCACGGGCTGATAGCTCTGAGTGTCCTCTCGAAAATCCGAGTAAAGTGAGACCTTGATTTTCCGCGGTTTGGGCGTTGTATCGGATATCTTACTAGCCTTAAAAACTGATGGACTATAGGTAATCTACCATGCTGAGCTTCATGGATATATTTGTTTTTAGAAAAACTTTTAAAAATCTACCAAAAATCCAGTTTTACGAAAATTAAGGTTTCCATACTGCTTTCACCTAATATTAAAAAATTCACTCTTCATTCAAAAAATATTGGAACAAGCTTAAAACCTCAGGATATGATTAATGTTGTTCGCTA